TAAATTTTTCAAATAGCTAAAATATTATTCAAAGTAGCTAGCAAATACAAAATTTTATTATTTAAGTAATTTGATATTAATTGACTGACAAAAAAATGTAATGAACAAAATAATAAAAAAAAAATAATGAAAAATATTTTTTAAAACTAAAATTATTATCTTTTTTTTTTAATGTTTTAATTTTAACTTCATTTAATATTTCCAAAATGAATGACCTTTTACATTAAAATTCATTATCATTTCTAATATAGTAAGTTTTAGCAAATTGAACTTCTTAAATCATTATTGTTTAATCTTAAACACATATATCATATTTGTATTGTTAGATAATTACTTTAAAATTTTATTATACTTAATTTATTTCCTGAAAAACATAAATTCTGAGAAGATACTTAAAAATATACGTTATATATGTATATTTTTTAATTAATATTGTATATTTTAAACAAATGTATAATCTGGAACAGTTTGAAGAGAAAAATGAAATTGTAAATATCTACTTATTAATAATGATCATAGCAAATACTTGATTGTTATAAGGCTTTAGTTTTGAAGTAAATAAATATAAGAATCGATTGATAGCATAAAATAAATATTAAATTATAAAATAAAATTGATAATGAACAAAATTTTAATTGTTTGTTACTTAATAATAAAATCTCTTGACATTTTCCATAAATTTCCAAAGAATAATTTGATTAAAAGAGATATTAGATAATTTAAAATGAAAATCATAATCACGATCAATTAATTAATTCTAAAGAATTCCATATTAAATGCAGATTAATTTTGAATAATTAATTTCTAATTATCTAAGATTTTTCAATAATTATATATAAATACAAAGCAAAGAAAACTAAAGAGGGTATGTTGGAGCTCTATGTTTCCTAGTGTAATTACAAGAAAACAAAAAATTATGTAGCATTTAAAGATAGCCTCAATTAGAATTAGATAATCGAGTTTGTTTAATTTGCAAATATTTATTATTAACTCTTATCAATTAAACTAAATCACAGATTTTGAAAATTTCAATAAAAAATTATTCACTGATTATGTCTCTTAATTTCAATTGACGGGCGTCAATTGAAAAATTTTGAACTAAAAAATTTGTCTGAACTAAACCAAATTTTGCAATATTATAAATTTTAATATATAGAATTCAAATATTGTAATATTTCGGTTTTGAAAAATTTCGACTAAAATAGTTTTATTGTTCATCTACATGTACAAATAACTTAAACTTCTTAATATTTTAGAATTTAGTTAAAATTTTTATTATTGGAGTTTTAAGACCTTGTAAGTCTTGAATTCGCATTGTAAAATTCAATCGTATAAGAAAAATTCGCAGAAAATATTATTATACCAGAAAATAAATGCTATTTGGAAAAACTCAATTATAAATTAAGTGAGAAGCGCTTGTACCGATCTTACTATCTTTAATCAGAAATAATCAATAATTTTATTAAATTATTAAATAAAATAATTAAGTATATTTATATTATTGTATATAATAAATCACATTCTTTTGTCTATTAAAATAACTTTTTAATTCATCATCACCATTCACATTTTTTTAAAATTCTTTGTTATTAATAAATAGCTTTAAAAGCGAAATGACCATATAACCATTCTGTTAATATTTAAGTGCTTATACATACCCAATCTTACATATTATATAAATTAGTACATAGTCAATATTTATACATGAATTCATACTTAAAATAGAATCAATTTAATTTAATATTTTTTTTATATTAGAACCGGCCATTAATTTATATATAATTAATATTTAATATATATTATAGAATATACAAGTAAATCACTACATAATATCGTTATTAACATAAAATAAATTTATAATTATATAAATATATATAAGTAATGTATAATAAACTTATTGAAGTATTAATGCAATATAATTAAAACAAAAAAAAATAATAGTAATTTGTTGGTATCATTTTTAAATTAAATTCCATAAATAAATTAAATTTATTGGGAAAATAATTATAAATAATATATTACAACACTGTCTAAGTCCATTTAAAAGAAATATTGAGATATCACTACATATTTGAGTATTTTAGGTTCAATCAATTTTAAAGAGGTGAGAGAAAATTATAAAAAAAATCTCTCAATCATATTTAACTAAAATAAAAACTATCGTTTAGAAAACCATGATATTACTAGATCTTTAGTTTTTTTTTTCAATTAGTTTTGAAAATTGTTAAGTTTACAAAAAGACTTTATAATTAATTAAACGAGAAAAAATGGAGTTGATCATGTTAACTCCATGATACCCGTACGAAATTGTAATCCTAATGCCGAATTTATAATTTATTCCAATATATGTTCGTAGGGGTATAAAAAGAAATTAAATTGTTAATAAGAAGCAATTGCAAATCGATTTCAGCTTGAATTCAGCAAATTTTTTGTTTTTTGAAAGAAGTTGGCTTAATTTACACATAAAAAGATTTTTACCAAATATTACTTTGAATTTACTCAAAATTTATAATTCTTACTTAGGGTGGTTTCACATCTTTGCCGCAGATGTTCATAATGTTATTATAAACATAATAATGCACTATGCCTTATATATCACAAATATTTGTATTGTTGTTTGTATAAAAATATTGGAAATAGAAGCAATGTGCACATTTATAATTAATTTAATATTTTAAGATCTACAGTTTTTGCTATTTTAATATTTGGCACGAATTATGTATATAGTATATATAATAAATTTGCTATACAATTTACTTTTCTTTAACTTTTAATAAATTATTTTTATCAGTTATTTTTTATTTTCCATATAATTTGTTTGTTTTATAAAATTTTAAGTCATACTTTCTATATATAATATTGTTATCAATTAAAAAATATAAATTAAATAAAATAAACTCTCAGGTTCATTAAAAATATTTGTATATATACTTAAAATATTTACTTTTATTTTGTAATATTTAAGTTCTATTATCAAATACTTATTTACTAAAATAATTTTCAATTCTTATAATATAATCAAATGGCAATCAATGGCAAATTTTATATGCAATATACATAGGTACTCTTAATCGACGAAAATACCATTGTTAACTATAAAAGTATAGAATACTTACTCTATAAAGAATACTTTAAATTTAAAGTATTTAAATAAAATTTGAGATTTTTTAATTCTTTTCAAAAATCTTAAATAAACAAAAATAAGGAAAATAGTGAGATTTTTTTAATAAACAATAAATTAAATAAAAAACTATACAATTGTAAAGTGTTATTTATTAAAAATTTTAAGTTTATAATTAATAAAATAACAACAACTTCTTATAAATAAAAAAAAAATAATAATCTTTGTATTTTGAAATAGTTGTCGATAATAAAATTATTAAATATACTTATATTTTGTAAAATTATTCTCGAACTCATGTATACTCGTATATAGACTTAAAATGTGTGTGTTCTAATAATAATTAACTTGCACTTCTTAAATATTCATTTAATTTTTTCTCTTCCTTGCCCAATAACAAAATTTTTTTAATTTTCTTATCACATTTTTCAAAAAAAAAATATTTAATTATTTTAAACTGTAATATTATTTTTATTGAAATAATTTTTATATTTAATTATTATATTTTAATTTTTATTTTATAAATTCATTATTATTTTGTAATATGTAATTATTATCAAATATTAATAAATATGTGATCATTTTGTATACAATTTTAGTTACTTTTTATTAAATTAATTGTGCATAATAATTTTAAAGTACATATATACCAAACTATTATACTATAAATGACAATATTTAATTACAATTATTAATAATAATTATTATAAATTAAATAATTTTTAATTTAACACCACTATTATGAAAATAAATTTAATATAATTGAGCATATTATCATTGTTAAAAGGCGCTTTTAATTTTTTTTCCTTATTATTATACAATATTATTAAGTTATTTAATTTTGATTATTATCATAAGTGTGCCATCCTATACTCAAATTGGCTTTATTACATATAAATGCCCAATTTAAATTAAATCAGTTAAATTGTTTGTTCCGGTTTTCAATTTTAGGATTATTAAAATTTTAATTAAATAAAATTAACATGCCTTATAAAACTACAAAAATATTTTAATATTAAAATTTTAATTATAACAATAAAATCACTGATATACTGTTATACTGTAATATAAAAAAATTAAAATTACGATGATTCAAGCAAAAATTTTGAACAAAAAACAAATCTCGAATTATAATGAAAAAAAAATATTTTTAACATAATTAAATTAAGCTTTAATCACCTTATAATATCAAAAAAAAAAAAAAAATAGAAGAAAAAAAGAAAAACAAATCATTGACAAATTAGTTACACCTGATTAAATTAATAATAAAAATCAAAAATGAAAAAAAAAAATAATAAAAATTTTATTTTCATTTTTTGTAATTATTTTTTTTTTTGCTTCTGAACCTGAATTCGAAACTAATAATATTTTATCGATCATTGAAACCGCGAAAAAAAAATAAATAAAAATTTAAAAAAAAAACATGAAAACACTAAAAAATCTCGGACTCTCTCAATATTAAAAATTTATAAAAACAAATAAAACAAAACAGCAAAAAAAAAAATTAATACTCAAAAAACATTGCCCGCTTCATGCTCTCAAATTAAAGCGGAAAATCGCAGATACCACAGAAAATGGCCAGAAAGTTCACAAAACAAAAAAAATGTACTTTTATTTTTCTTTGTTTTTTTCTCTTTTTTTTTATTATTATTATATTATAATTTCATTTTAATTTTAATTATTAAAATTAATTTTTCCAATTTTTTTCAATTTCTCACCACAATTATTTTTAATGAAAAAAAATTCTAAATTAATAACTTAAGCATAATAAAATATTTAAAATCAAAACACTTAAAACTTATATTCAATAATCGCCACCGATTTAAAAACAAAAAATAAAAATCAAAAAAAAAATTAATAATAAAAAATAAGTAAGTACCCATATACACATGCGTCCGTTTTACAAATTACTACTGAACTGACTGAACTGACCATTTCGCGAATATTTTTACGAATATCTTTTTTACCCACATAATGACCGTTAATCACTCTTAAAATATAAATATAATATACATGTATATATATATATATATATTATATATACTTTAAATATAATTGCATATATACATTAGTATTTGTATGTATATATATATATATAAATTGTACGACAATATCGTATCGATTCGATGATAATATTATATTATTGTGTCGTTAAACAAGTAAAGTATAAAATAAAGTATTATATAGTAAGTAATAAGTAAAGTAAGTCGCGCCGTGGTTCAATCGTTCACACATGCACACAAAAATAAGTGTAGTATACTTATATTAAGTATGTATATATATAAAAGAAAAAAAAATTTTCAACCAATTTATTATTATTTTTTTTTTTTTTTCGTTTAATTTTTTTCCGATATACAACAAAACACCACCAATCAAACCAGGTATATATATGAAATAAAAACAAAAATAAGAGGAGCGAAAAAAATTAAAAAAAAAAAAAATTTTTTTTTTTTATTTTTACTTTATTTTATTTTTTGTTTTATTATTTTAGAATTAAAATAGCAACAAATTGTATATAATAAATGTATATATACATATACTTTCCAACTGTTATATAGTTTATTTAAGTTTGAATCTTAAATTAAAAAAATCACGGTTTAAAAAAAATTTTTTTTTGATTTTTATTTTTTTTTTTTGTATATACGAGTAGTAACAATAATAATAATAAAAAAAAACTGAAACACTACATGTGCGCATTCTTCTTATATATATATATTTTTTTTATTTATTTATTGTATAAGAGATTTTATAGTTAGTATAATTGGCATGCCATTATATATGGTACATATTTCTTTTTTAAAGATGATTTTACATTCAACTTTTACAACCTTATTCGATAAGTTGTCTTTTTAACTTGCAAAATTATTTCGGCAAATTGACTAACATACTAACATTAAATGTGCGAGATATTCGGCATACCGTTGCGATATACTAATATTAAATGTTTATATTTAACACATCAAAAACATTGAAAATAGTTTTTTTAGTTCCAATATCGGACTCTTTGAATAGATACATAATTCAAATAAAGTTCGATTGTTATTCGAATTAAAATGATTATTTTGAGATTGTTGAATATATAGATCAATTTTATTTTCATAGATACTGGCTGCGTCCATTTATTTTTCGCTAAAAAATATTGAACTTAATCAGATAGATATTTGCTTATTTTTCGTTATTAATCGGGGATACTCACATTGGAGTCTGGTAGATCCCAATAGAATTTAATTTATTGATTTCTCTTTCAAAGTTAGTGTAAACAATTCAAGAAGTATACTTAAATTTTCTTATTTCTTATTAGTTTACGATAAGAAATTCTACGGTAATTTTTTTTACGAGAAAATACCTAAAAAATGGAATTAAAGTTGTTTTTTTTGGGGTGTGAGACGACCCCAAGTCTAAGTAATGTGTAAGAGTTTTGGTAGTTTTTTTTTTAATGAAAACTTTTAAAGAAAGATAAAACTTTTTTATCCGAATTTCCTTTTTGTCGCTGGAAAGACGATAAGAAGACTTCCTTCTTGTGCAAATTGTGCTTTTCGGCCATTTGGAGTTTACAAGAACACCCATTTGCTCTAATAAATTATGAATTAAATAATGAATTTGAATAAGAAGTAGGATTGATATTGCCGACTGGAGATAATTTTAAGAAACCTAGGTTTAAAAAAAGAAAAATATACGATATGAATTTTTTAAATGAAGCCTTTTTTTAAAATTTAATAAATTTCGAACAAATTTTTGTTTTTTTTTTTAATAGTATTTAAATAAAATAAATTGCTTATGTTTTCTAAATTGTATTTTTGAAGATAAAAACGATGAATTTAAAACTTAAATTAGCACAAAATAATTTTTTGTTTTCAGATTTTTACGATTTTCCGAATAAATTGTGCTAATAAGGTCTTTCACGAAAATAAGTCTGAGTGTAAACAATAAAATCGAAACCAGACTTTAGTTACTGAAACGTCATGTAAAAATGGAAAGAATTTATAATGCGAAAACCTCATTTGTTACCGTATATAATTCAGAAAGAGAGATGTATTTCAGCGAAATGTCTTCTCCAAAAGATTAAATGCATAAAATTTTATTAAGATCAATTGAATATTTGAGGTTGTACAACAAGCTGTGCAAACTTTATATATCATTTATCAATTATGTATCTATAATTTCAGTATATATGAAAATACTCGGGAAAATCATTCAAAATATTAGAATAAAGGTAATAAGAAAAGAGATAACTGTAAAATTAAATAATATTTTAATAAAAATTAACTAAAATTAATATTAAAAAAAAATTAATTGCATTAAAATTATAATCTAAAATTTGCATAATAATCAAATTATGCTGAACAATGAATGTAATAATGAATTTTCTTACAAAATAATAATTACAAAAAAATATATAATTTTTTTTTAAATTAAAATATTAATTTTGTAAATTATAAATAAATATTTGTGTAAATGTGTGTCTATAAATTATACGTACACAAATAAAATAATACGATAAAAAATATACGTAATCTTATATCGATTTTTTTTTACCGTTATTACATTAACTTACTTGTATAATTAATTTTTATATATTAAAAATTTTTCAAAATAAAATATAAAATGACGTAATTTTTTTAATATAGGAAATCATAATATACAAAAATTTTATATTGAATTCCAATTTTTGTTCGAATTCATGAGTACATGAGTACATCGTACCTGGTCCAATAATTTATATATTAATATTTTTCACACCTTTATTAGAGACAATTTAAAGTGTCAATCACATTAATATTTTTATCTGTATTAATAATATTAATTAATAAACCAGATTTATGTAAATCTGAATTATATTTAACTAGATTTTATGTTTTAAATTAAGATAAATCAAGAATAAATTGCATAAATCTATTTTTATTTAATCAAACATAAATTTAATATATAAGTAATTTAATTAAAAATAATACATATAGTATAAGTGAATTTGTTACTATAAAAATCAAAACTCAAAAGTGAAAATTTCAATGTAAAACTTACTTTAAAATAATATTCACATTATAAAAATGTACATATACGTGGAGGGTTCAGAAATTAATCAGTGTAAGTCGAAAAATTCTAGTTTTGAGATAAATTGAAAATCTAAATATTAACTTAAATGTAATAATAATATTTAGCTGGCACACGATTTTTACAGAATTATAATAACAGAATATAACAGTTAAATTCAGTATTTTCGTAATCAGAGCGGCTTAAAAATAAAGCATCATTGGCATACAATTGCAAATCAAAATTTAACTCAATTTTAATTTAAAAGTGACTTACACTGAATGAATTCTGAGTTCCCCTCCCCATATATAAATAATGTGTATGCCAATAAAATTAAAAAACACTCAAATATATTATGTACAGTGCTCAATGTGTTTAGATATAAATTAACCATATATTGTATTTTTGTATAAAAGTTTAATGATTTTGTTATACTATATACATAGATTTTTATTTTATTTCAACAAAAAAAAAAATGAGAATAAAAAACAAAAATTTTAAGTTCTTCTTCGGTTTTTATTTTTTTTTTTTTTTTCGTTACTTAATTTATACATATACATATATACTTATACTCTCTTCTAAACAATATTAAAATTTTTTTTAATCAGGTACGTATTTTGTACCTTGCTCCAAAAAAATAATTGTGCCAAGTCTACATACACGTGAACATACGTGTATATATACAAAAATTTTAATATTATATACTACATGAATGATGAATTAATGATGGGCTCAATATATTATTACAACTAAAATAATATATTGAAATTGATGATCATTTGATTTTGACATAATGATAATGATGATATTTATGATAATTTTTGTGATGATTTTTATTGTAGAGTGATGAATATATTTTAAAAAACATACTATACAATAAAGAATGATAATCAATTGTAAAATATATATACAAATATGCGCTAATAAAATGTTTATTATAATAATTATGTTGATAATGATGATGATCGTGATAGTTTATATTATATATATATATATGTATTTTTGTATGTAAATATATGTTATATATGTTAATAAGTTAAGATTATATCAATAATTTTATGTTAATATGGTAATATAATCATATATGTATAATTTTAGGCGCACTTTATTTGTTATCAATTTAATAATTAACATATTATGTTAATTATTATCATTAATAATAAAAACTATATCAATTTAAATATTTAATATAACTATAAGCTACTTGTTATAATTTTATTAATGAATAATTTATAAAATTTTAATTTATTATAATCTGTATAATAATTTCATAGTCATAGATAATCATCAATGGCATACGATAAGTTTGATTTTTTTGAATATAAAAAATATAATTTTTCTTAATTCCAATCGGTTATTGTTGCTGTATAAAGGGGATCGTCGTCTCGCAATATCCGATGGTACAACTTTCATAAAAAAGTAATCAGAAGTTTAGATTTATTATAAATAATATGTTATATATACTATAAATATTAATATAACAGTAGTTGTTTATATAAAATAGTGTATAACAGTTTTGAAAATATGATGGATAAAGATTCTACAGGTACATGTATAGAAGTTCGTACGAAATTTGTGTCAAATTTTTTGAAATTGAGAATTATGCTTCTTTTAGTGAAGAGAATTTTTTGATAACTGTACCTTGCATTATTAACGTGTTTACCTGTGTATTCGCTTCATTTTTCGTATACTAGTTATTCCAACATCAATATCTCTTATACTACTTATATCATTAACGTCAAATCTCATAAAATCTCTTAAATATATTACAATTTATTTCAACGAATCTAGAGCATATTTATATATATAGTTAGCCTAATTTCTATATTCGATTTTTGACTACAATCGAATAGAATTCCTACTGCCGTTTGTCCACACTGTATGACATCTATTACGAAAAGCTGAAATCAAATTTCAAACACTTTAATATTA